TCTATTGTTGTCACAAACTTTCTCTGTTCCTATTCCTGTTCTCTTTAATTGAATCTTCTCAATCTTTTGTTGGCAGCCATTTCACTTCGGTATTACATATTACTTATATCTGTTAAATAAAGTAGCATATATCATACATATAGCGCCTTGAATAAATGTATCTTTGCAAAATTGAAGCCTTCATACAAGTGGATAAAGAAGAAATTTCTCGTTGTAAAACAAATTTTCATTCTTTTTAAATATATATGACCTAAAGAAAAGGTTCATAATCTCAGTAAATAGATATCATTTACCGTCTTGTTACTAACTGAATATGGTTTCCTGGGTACTCATTTTCTCTATATTTGATGATACACAAGCATATGATCACCTTTTAGGTAAACGTAACAATAACATTTATCAAATTAGAGAGTTTAACAAGTTTTCTCACATTATATACTAATATACAAATTTTAAAAAATCAATTCAGATTGTTGATCAAATATTTATCTCTTTCTGGTTAACGTTTTCTTAACAAGATTGTTTCCTACTTTATGGGATTACTGATATCATGCCCAACCATGGCTTGGAACCGTCAGTAAACCTAGAAGAACTACATACGGAGTTATTGTTGATCAAATATGTGACCGAAAATAACAGACTATCAGTACCTAAAGTTGTTATTCCCATTACATGACCTGTGGTAATAGTTATCAAATTTTTCACAGTTTTTTTACATTCTAGTTCTGTATTCACACTGATACAATGTCAGAAACATGTGAGGAAACTATGTTTGTCAACACAATTGATAATAGAATTTTACGGTGTTTAATTAAGCGAATCACTGTAAAACATCAGTTAACTACATGAATGTTATTGATACTTGTAAACAAAGTTCTTAATTCTATAGCTTTAAAATTATTCACATCGGTGTGCTTGTAACGAATGGGGTTAATATTAAGGTTTAAAATCTCAAACATCTATCCTATTGATCACTTTTTGCACTGAACTATCCAACACCGAAAAAAATCAAACAATGTAGTAGCTCTCAGATCTGTGATCATAGAGGTGAGACCATAAGTTGAACGACGCTAAAGTGACCTTGAAAGTGTCCACCTAATAACTAGAACGAAATGAGGGTTATAAATCAATGTGAGGAATTAGAATTATGATTTACATTTGATGGTTAAGGTTAGAAATTAGATTTAGAGTTTTCCTTACGAAATGACATCAGTTATAATGTCAAAACTCTATTTAGATAAATGGATGAGTGAATTTCACACCAAAATCCAAGACCTCTTATCTTACACCTTATTCATTCATATATAAACTGTAGTCTTACTTCAAATTATAATTTCCTTGTTTGCTATTTGACAAATTTACGATAAACAGTTAGTCAATTCACGTTTTGTTTGATACACTTTTCTTCTCTGAGCTAGACAGTTTGATTGTGAGCTTTCATCCCTCTTCTGAACGACATGATCAGCACAAATTTCAGGTAGAAGAAGGATGAAAGCTCACGACCAAACCATCCAACTCAGAAAACAAAACTCGATCAACAAAATCCATCTGAGCTAAAATTCTCCACTATCACACGTTTTGTTTATCAATTGAATAAGAGAATCATATTAGAGAAACTTTTAGTTAAGCAATTGTTAATCTAAACTGATAAATTGGTAATGATTAGAATTTTATCAATAAACAAACCCTTATCCAAGTAAAAATCATAAGATTGATAAGATGAAGTTAGAAATGTAAACATAAAATTTGTAATGTAAATATTGTTAAACAAAAATTACCGTTTATTAATGATAGTCTAAATAAACTACTGATTATGGTAATGTAATAGTAGATGGTAAGGGTTGTTATTTAACAATAAATAAATAGACAGACTCGAATAGACATTGTCTACCTGTTAGTGTGACAAATAGCTTCAATTAACTGATGATCTCAATCATTGAAATTACTATAATATTCATAGAAATCCCTTCTGATATGACACAACATATGTGCACCAGTGACTAGCTTCAAGAGGTATATCCTGGAGTTCTAGTGAAAAGCAGTGACCAGTAGAGTTCAACCAGGTCTGTTGTGAGATAATAGAAACTCATTGATGACAGTGGTGGATATTTGGCTCAATTTCATGGATTAAATGAATCTAGACTGTTGTGGATGCGGAGGAATAGACCAATAATTATCATGTTAAGTCCAATGGTGTCCTTGGACTTTAGATGGACATTTTCTATTGGTCGATATCTGTTCACTTGTTGAATATTGTACAAAATGTTGTTTTCTATTTTTATGGTACGATGTGGTATGCTTGATTGGTATATAAACAAAGTATGTTTGAAATATAATGATTCATATCTCCGAGGCTGTGACTTGTGTTCTGGACTCAACTGACTGGGCTAGACAGGGAAGCGAGACCAATCGAGACTCTAGGCCGTCCGTACGTGTTTACGTGTCATTGAATCGATCGACAAATACGCTGCTCTCTAATTTTTCCAGTCAAGGACACAACAATTAGCACAGGATAAAAATCGACCGCAACTTAAAGCCATAACATAGACAATAGCATTGTTGGATGAAGATCGGCTCAGTGGTCTAGTGGTTAAGCGCTCGCTAGAGAGACTGATAGATCCTGGGTTCGAATCTTGCTGGGGGGGCGGAATCGTAGATGCATACTGGTGAGGAGTCCCACAATAGGATGAAACGGTCTTCCAGTGCTTGCAGGTTTTCCATGTTGATCTAACTTCAATTACCGCTTGGCCTCAACCATTGAACTTACTATAATATCCACAAAAACACTTCTGAGATAAATATTTAATAATCATAAGTGATGAAATCAGAATATTGAGAAAAGATGTTTTAAATAATCATGAAGATATTGATATTACAGTTATTATTAACAGTGAGTTAGATTACTTGTCGATATTACAAAATATTCGAATTCGTTTTTCAATCTAATACGTTTCCTCTTGCTGTAGCTTATACTAATGGACAAACAGGAAATGTTGAATTCTTTATAATGGACAAATGCATCTTAAAGTAAGCAATAATGTTAATTAAACGATTATTTATTTTGTATATTTACAACTGCTTGAATTGTTATGTTGAAACAACATAGTGTTGAAAACTTGTAGTGGCTTTGGTTCGTTAATCAGTCAACTGTGTAATCATTGTAGTGGTAAATAAATCACTAAGATCAATAGTTCCTTAAATCTTCGACATTTAATGCTAACCAGATTAGTTTTATTGAACTCACCTAGCTGAAGGTGCTCGGCCATTCATTCGCACCAGATCACGAATGGGAACGCCGTGCTCAACTTCTCTCGCAAATGCTAGCCATTTTAGAGCAGTCACTCCTCGATATATTGATAACTTATCAAATATATCTTCGAACCTCCTTGCTTCTGACTTTTGGTTTCACTGGGTGTGCACGATTCAATTATAGGTGTTACTGGCTAAAGTGTTGTCAAACTACATATACTTCACCGTTACTATATAAGTCACAATGGTGTTTGATATCAGAAGGCAATAAGGAGCGGCAACTACAACAGAATCACAAAGCTATAAGCACATCAAGAGATTTCGAACAAGAGAGGCGAATGTGTGTATGCGAGCAAATACAGAGGCAAATTTACAGTCAAATCTCATGAGCGCATAGCAAGGCAAAGCGAAAGCTAATAATAGGATTCGACTACACCATATATAAATGGGTAAGAGAATGACTCATCAAACGATATTTAACCTAACAACATTTTGGCTAGAATCTGTCATGTGATCAAGCGTACACGTTTATACAGATACGATTATGACCATAATAGTACAAAGAATATATGTGAATTGCTATTGTTCAAATAACATTGTCTGTTAAGTAAGTTAATATAAAGACTTAACCAAAATCAACCATAATCGAAATTGGTTGTAGGAGAGTTGCTATAGTTTCTTCTATGACAATAATGAATTTAATGCATACACATTATACTGTACATTTGTGTGATCACACTGTTTTTGATGTAGATGTTTGTCAGTCAATTATTTAAAACATATCATTACTTGAGTAATGAATATCAATTTCTAGTTTAATCAATATACATTCGTATTTGACACAGACAATTATTTGAGCACTGAATATTGAATGCTAAAGGCCAAGCAACATATACACACTTAAAACGTTACTATCTTATCATGACTTTCCATCCAAATACGTCTTAGTTAACTACCCTGACATTGATCATTATAAATTATATAGTATTACGTTTGAATTGATCAAAGGAACTGATTACTTAATGTTACTCAATAATATTGTATATGACCAGATATGAGTAACTTATTATCTAAATATCTTCTTCTTTCTTCTAGACAATACCTTGTATTTCACAGATTGAAATCATGAGTCAATTGAAGCTAGACCACCATGGAAATCCTGGAAGCACTGAAAGGCCATTTCGTCCTAGTACGGGACTCCTCAGTAGTGCGTATTCATGATCCTGCACCCCACGAGATTCGAACCCAGGACCTATCAGTCTCGCGTCAAACACTTAACCAACTAGACCACTGAGCCCGTCGGCATCCAATGATGTTAATGTCTAACCTCAACCAATCTACGAAGTTGCGTCACTGTATACCTTGCATTACATAACAACTATTAATACATATAAATATAATCCACGAAATATTTTATTGATTAAATTACTAAACATTTTCAATAAGGAAATAGAATAAACGAATGAATCCATGTAGAACTCTAGTGGAATGCTGATCATTCATTTCGAACAACTATCTTGTGTTTCTATGTTTATTATACAATGAAAAGAAAAAAATGTTTATTAACTATGACATAAATAAACAGATGAAAATATATTTGAAAATATAGAATTTTTAAAATATGTGCATCTATTATTGTGTAAAATGTAAATAGAGAAACCAAAAAGAGATGTACAGTATAATGTACTGTTCAATATGTACAATTCGACTTATATACAATGTAATATATATATATATATATATATATATATAGAGAGAGAGAGAGAGAGAAAGAAAGAAAGAAAGAAGGAAGGAGAGAGGAATGACATTCATCTAGAATTTTAACGAATTTTATAGGTTGAATGAAAGAGTAAATAGAAAAGTCACCATTGTTTCATAGTCAAAAAATCAAGTATAATAAATATGTAAATATATATAATTATTTATTAAAATCTCGTTTCTGATTGTTATGGTGACCTGTATAATAACCTAGTATCACCAGAGGTATTCGAAACATATCCATGATTCACTATGTTATCTGTTTTCTTTCAATTGGAAACATATGATTATAGGCAGAATTAAACTTATTTCAGTAATAAGTGCTGTATTGAGAAAAAGACAAAAAAAAGTACCATAGGAGAGAATATTATAAATTTCACTATATATGTATTATAAATACACAATTGCAGGTTGATTTTAAAGTAAACATTTTTAAACATATTAAGCAACTGATCCACTCGATAAAAAGTGTTCATTGCTTTTTACTGTCTTTATATAACACTAACCAGGTGTAGGTTGGAAGAAAGCTAGGAGTGGGCAGATCGAAACACGGCACAGATCCATGAAGTCATTGACAAGTGGACTGAGTCATGTTTGGTAGGTGTAGACTACCTGGTTGGGATCCGCGAGATGATAGCAACTAATGTTTAGAGATCTTGATTTAAAAATCATTTGCAATGGCGCTTGTACAACTACTCTTTGTGTTCTCCCAAATTCTAATCTTCGGAATTCTTCACGTCCCTTTATTTCTCTTTCCAAATTTATTTCACTGGATTATACTTCTTGAATAACATCTTCACGCCCTGATTCTTCTGACTACTGCTTATACTTTTACTACTTCTACCACTATGCATCTTTGTGCTAATGTGGTGTGGCAACTCGAACTGATGTGCGTACGTACGAAGTTCTACGTTATTGCTGACTTTCTGACTGAATATAACACTAAATAAGTAACAGTTCTAAAAATATTCTACTTAGATAGTATTAGTTAGAACAGATGAATTTTCTTTTACATTTTATGCAGCGAAATGCTTGATTTATGAGCATATGATAATTTAACAGTGCAGTGATTGTCATTGGATTATTTCATAACTGGGTAACAGAAATTTAGATTATTATTATTTTTTAAGATATAATCTCTTTTTTTTCATCTTTGTTACCAGTAATTTTACACACTTGAATTTTATCTACTGATCCTGTAATAGTGTAGAGTTTTATGTGGACACATCATTATCCCAAAGCCTTTAGGACTAAATGAGCAGCATCCATATAAATTGTTTTAAAAAATGTAAAGTTTAATTTCCGATTCATGGATCTTTCAAGTATTTTAATAGAAAAAACTAAAGTATGAGATGGTGGTTGAAGGTAGTCAACAGGAAACTCTGCACCTAGGTTTCGTGCTATTTGGCACTCGTCAGCAAGGTGTAACTGTAATCTTGAGGTAACTAATGCTCCCTGACGGATACGATCCCGTGTGGCCCAGCTTCACAGCCAGAGACGTTACCACTGAGCCATCTGAGCCGCAACTGATCTTCTGTAGTACTGAGCTGTATTTACAATTGATTGATCACTGGGTGGTGATCAACGTCATGTATATTATGTCCTTCTTAGTGCAGATCGAGGCCGGGTAACACGGGATCAAATCCATCAGGGAGCATCAGTTCCCTCAAGATTACAAGCGCACTATGCTGTTGAGTGCCAAGTAGCACGAAACCTGAGGCCAGAGTTTCCCGTTGACTACCTCCAATCACCATCTTATTTCAACATAATGCACGCCATATAGAGTCACCTAGTCTAATTGCCACGTTGTAACTTGGTCGATAGGATTCAATCTGTACTAAAAAGGACCTGATATACATGAGATTGATCACCACCCAGTGATTAATTAATTGTAATAGTTTATAATATCTCAATGGGTAGAAATTAGGATTGTTAATGTTTTATAACAGTATCATATATTTTAACAAAAGAAAATAAATAACCGACAATTTTATTACTGTAAATTCAAATCATGATTAATAAATGTTCATTGTCAATTATTCTTTATATTTATAATTTAATTATTATTCAATCCTGTATGTATGTTTCTATGTGGGACTTTTAAATTGATTCAAACAAACAAACAAAAACCCCATTTTTAATAACTTCACTTACTAAACTTTGAACAATTCACCGGTTTATTTTGAATGATTCCATTTTGATTAGTTATCGTTAAATAGTTTTCTTTTTTTCCTTTTTCTTTTCTTTCTTTTTCTTCTTTATAAGTATGTTTTATATAATTTTGATCTTTTAGTTCAAAACTATAAAATAATTTAAAACCTAATTCATTTGGTTTAGTTATATGGTCACTTTTAAATATTATTATCATTAAATTCTTTGATGAAATAAAATATTCAGGTTTAATTGTTGTATACAAATTTTGTTGATTATTGGTTATAATTTTATTTTCACAATATTCTATAATTAATGGATCATCAATATGTATTCCATCGATTAATTGAATACGATCACCTAATGATTGATTTTCATTTTCACAGCTAAAAAAAAGAATATAAAATGAGAAGGGGTTTTGTGGAGATTTTTTGGTAATTTCAATAGTTGAGATCATGAGTCAATTGATGCTAGGTCAACATGGTAAATCTGCAAGCACTGGACAACCGTTTCATCCTATTGTGGGACTCCTCACCAGTGTGCATCTACGATTCCACCCCCCCCACAAGATTCGAACCCAGGATCTATCAGTCTCGCGCGCGAGCGCTTAACCACTAGACCACTGAGCCGATCTTCATTCAACGGTGTTAATGTTTAAATTCAACTTATTCACGAAATTGAGTCACATATCCACTATTGTCATCAGTGAGTTACTGCCTTATAACAGACCTGGTTCAACTCTACTAGTCACTGCTTTTCACTAGAACTCCAGGAAATACATCTTGAAGTCAGTCACTAGTGAACAGATGATTATTATTATCAAGGGTTTTGTGGGGACGCCGGCTCAGTGGTCTAGTGGTTAAGCGCTCGCGCGCGAGACTGATGGGTCCTGGGTTCGAATCTTGCTGGGGGGGGCCGGGATCGTGGATTCGCATTGCTGAGGAGTTGCATACTAGGACGGAACGATCGTTCAGTGCTTCCAGATTTTCCAAGGTAGTCTAGCTTCAACTGACTCATGATTTGAACTATTGGAATACAAAATTGTTTATAATAAATAGGTAACATAATAAGCTGAATTATAATTGATATCAGAATGAGGTTTTTGTGTATATTATGGTAATTTGATAGGTGAGTTTTATGACTTAATTGAAACTAAATCACCATGGAAACCATAAAAGTACTGGGCGGCTGTTTCGTTGTATTGTAGGACTCCTCAGTAGTGCGTATTGATGATGCCCGCCTTGTGAGATTTGAATCTAGGACCTATCAGTCTCATGTGCGGGCGCTTAACTACTAGACCACAATATATAATTGTATTTATAGTGAACATTAAAAAAAAATTACAACAGCTTTATGAAAGATGATATTTAAACTTGGGCTATTTACAAATTACGTAAAGAATCAACTCAATCCAATTCATTTTTAGTTTTAAGGTGACTTTCTAAAACTAAGTTTAAATAATCAGTTATAGTGGGATATTTTCAAAATAGTATATAGTACTAATTATCATACTTAACATATACTGGTCCAAAATTGAAGAGAAAATGCTTATATTTACATACACCAATTTGATATTTCATCCATACAATAAATATATTCCAATGAAACTTAATTACCTACGTTAAAACTACCAAATTTGACTACCAACAGCACTATGATATTTTATGTTTATGTAGTATGTAATTATTGCCAAGAATGCTGATAAGTTTATTAATGTATTCATAAAATCACTGTATTACATTTTTATAACCCAGTATTTTCTTAAATTTCACACACGTAGCTCATTATAAGACAATTATCAGTATAGGGTTGTGAGGATTGCTGAGGTTTAATTGAGATCATGAACCAATTAATGTTAAACCACCATTGAAAATCTGGAAGCGATTGAAGGCATGTTCCGTCCTGGCATGGGACTCCTTAGAGGTGTGAATAGAAGATCAAGCATGTGGGATTCGAACCCGGACACATTCGGTCGCGTGTGCAAATGCCTAACCTCTGGATCACTAAGCCGGCATCCATTGATGTTAATGTCTAACTGGAAGTTTTCAATGTTGGTCTTACATTGATCATTTCATAAACTCACTTAAAACTCAACAATCCTCACAAGCATACGCTGATACGTATCGTGTGCTCACTAGTGACTAGATTCGAGAGGTTATTCTTTTGAGAAGCCGTAACCAGTGTGGTTCATTCGTGTTCGGTGTGAGGCAGTCATCCACCGAAGACAATCTCGTGGATTGATTGAAGTTAGACATTAAAACCATTGGGATTGTTGATGCGCAATTTTGAGTTGTCCCATACTAGGAAGAAACGGCCCTCCAGTGCTTCCAGGTTTTTAATGATGGTATAACATTGAACGGTTCATGCTTTCAATTATAAGATGATTACTGAGAGGACTAAATAATTATTTAGTTTAGTTTTGCTATAGCAATGAAACATTTGAAGACCACAAAATCATAGAAAGACAGAAATGAAAAATTAATTTTTGTTTTTCCTTTGAAGTCAATATTATTTGTATCAAAAGGGGTTTAGTGGATATTATAGTAATTTTAATAGTTGAGATCATGAGTCAATTGAAGCTAGACCACCACGAAAGACCTAGAGGGGTCGTTTCATCCTATTGTGGTACTCATCAGAAGTACACACACACGATCCCACCACACGAGATTCGAACCTAGGACCTATCAATATTTTTTACCCAAAATATTACACCACCTAAAAACTCATTATTCTCAAATTTGTTTCTTGATTCGTTTACCACTTTTCTTAATGGACGATAGCTAAATTTTCGCAGTTATTTAATGCCATAGATTAAATGTGCAACTGTTAACTGAAATCATTTACATAAGAAAATATTGTGTTGAAGAATGCGTCCAACAGCTCGTATTGTACAAAAAACCACTCGAATTTAACAACAGAATTAATCCACAGATTCTATATGAAGTCCATTCATAGGAGACAATATCTTAACCATTATTCATTCCACCTAACAGTTATAAAACCATCCCTCTCTAGAAAGATGATTTAGCGTACATTTAAAGATTACTTTAGTGTGACTATGTCGTTAACAGTGTAATCTACAATTAAGAGTTTGTGATATGAATTTGTTCATGTGCTTAATAACCATAAATTGATCGATTCATCTTGACTTTCATTTGTATTCAATGGAGTTCATAGGTTACATGATAGTATATTGTTTGTTTAGAATAACACTACTTTTTATCTAACACGTTAGTATGATGATGATGACGCCCATATACGTGAAAGTTTCTACATCTTCCAGAACTTTTTCAACAAGTGTGATTGGGTTAGATGGGTAGGACATACATTGTGAAAATTATCAAACTGCATCACAAAGCAACTGCTAACTTGGAATCGTGAAGAGAAATGCAAAAGAAGGGAATCAAACAATACACTGAGTCGAGAATTGGAGGCAGATATCAAAAGGATGAATAGCAACTGAAAACAACTGGAAAGGAATGCTTAGGACACAGTTCGATGAAAAATGCTGTTTGGAGGCCTATACTCCTTTTTGGGAGGTAAGTATGATGAAAAAAAAATCATTCAACAGTAAATCAGTTTCAAAATTAAAAAAATGTTATAAATAAACATTCAAACTTCATATCAATGATGATGTACTTACTTATTTGAATTTCCAAGTTCTAAAAATAAAAATTTCACTAAAATTATCTCTGTAGGCTGGCCTATAAAAGTATACATTGTTATAATTGAAGGTGGATAAGGTTCCGGGTATTGAGGTGAATGAATTATACCTTGTGTACGATTTACTGGACCTTTTGAAACAATTAATTTTCTTTGTACATATTTTGATTTCATTTCATTATCGAATTGATTAGAATAATGAAAGTTCATAAAATCTGGATCCGATGAATATTCATCTGAAATAAATAAAGTGAATAAATTTATATCCTCTTGTTGTTCATCAATAAGTTTTCTTTTATTTGGTATAGCTTGACATGTTTCTTTCTTTTACAATGTAATAGTTATCTAGACTAAATTATATCATTAACAAGGCTTGACTTGATCATTTCGAATAAATTGAACATTGGGTTGATTGTTATAAATGAAGATTATATATATTTCTAATATCCCAGTGAGTAGAAAAAATTACATTTTCTAATGTTTCGTAACTCAGTGTAATCCCCTTCTTCAGAGAATGAATCATCAAATCAAAATTAATCCAAGTTTAAGTAGTGCACACGGAACAACGCAAGAATAAAAAAAACAGTTTTGAACAATTTAAACTTGGGTTAATTTTGACTTGGTCATTTATTTTCTGAAGAAGAGTCACAAGACATCAGAAAATCTAATTTTTCTACTCATTGGGATATTACAAAAATAATATTTATTTAGATCTAGATCAATGTAAGGCATTTCAAATGCTTATTAAATTCCATTCACTAAATCCCATTTTAAATATTTTATAACGTGTGGCCTTTTGTCCTATTAATACATAACGTAATGACACTACCAATTAGAGAACAGTGACTTATCGGTTGGACCAATGACGTTTAAACCCATACAAAAAATCTAAAGTCCTTATCGGTTCTTCTTCATGCCTAGATCTACCTGTTGAGTCCAGAACACCAATTTCAGTCTCTGCGATATGAATCATGTATTTCAAACATACTGGGTTTATATACAAACCAAACAGACCACATCGCACCACAAAAGAACATTTGTACAAAATCTAGCCAAAAGTGGCTCTGAATGTGGCAGACTGTAATTGATAGACTGGACAAAACTCAAGAACGGTAAATTTTATAATAATAGTCTATGGGTCAAAATAAAGATTTTATTAAGAGGCGCATGAATATTCATAATTTAGCTACTTGATAATTATACAGTAAAAATATATGTGTGGTGGTCGGTATTCGATATAATCCTTAAACTTCGTATACAGCTCGTCTTGATAACCGTTCTATATAACGTCCCAACGGTATATTAATCAGAAGGCAAATACGGAGTGTTGATTACGTTTATTGCGAGACCACACACATATATCCAAATGTACAGATGCGTTAAACAAGCATAGAAGAGTTGTGCAGAAAGGCGAGCAAGCGAGTGAGAGCCAGAGCAATATGAATAACATGGACATATATATACCATGTGAAATGAATGAATAATCGAATCGAATAATCAGTTAGTAGTAAGACTAGCAGAGTGAATAAATGTGTAGGTCGTAATCAATATTCAAGCATACGTATTTCATACAAGCACAAAATAATAAGGGTACAATAAGTTGTTATTAGTGCGGATGACTTTGTCCGCTAAATGAGTTAGCAAAAAGGCTTAACTGAGTTAAATGAGAATAAACTCAATTGCACGTGAGTCACCATATATATGTACCGTATTTGTCCATAAATAGTTCTCAAAACTTACCATTTATAATTTTCATCCAGATATAACAAATATATTTATACAATGAAGCATTACTTCAAACTTATCATTGATCATATTCACTGCGCATTTACAATATAATTTGTAGGAATGAAATGTGGAGTGATAGTTTTTTTTGATAACGTTGATTCCGTGGTTGTGACGCTTGTCTTTGATGAGTTTAACGAATACTTATTTTGATTGAGATCATAAACTGAATAATGTTTGACCACCATTGAAAACCTATAAGCATTGGACGACCGTTTTGTCCATGAACCCGCACGTGGGGTCCGAAATGGTCGTCCTGTGCTCTAAGATTTTAAATGGTGGTCTAAAATCGATCGATTAATTATCTTAATCAAAAACGTAATCTGCACAACCCCATACTGATTAGAAATATTTCACTTACTGTATAAATACTTAACAAGGTAGAACAATGGTGCTTAAAACGGCATCTGGAGCTTAATACGGCTAAAGTGGATGGATATGCCTCGGCGATACATCATTCAACTTAGATCTTACCGTAAATGGTGAAGTGTTATCTAGGTTACATACAGTAGTAGACTTAGGACTTAGATACTCCCAAGACTTGCCGTTTACAGAACAGATATTAAAACAGACCTCTAAGTCTCAACGTCTAATAGGTTACATAACTCGAAACTTTTACAACAATGAGTCACGTATTTTAATGTACAAAGTTTGTGCTCGACCTCTTCTACAATATTGCAGGTTTATTCTTAGCAGTGCGCGCATAAAGGATAAATTAAGGCTGGAATCAGTACAAAGACGATTTACACTTCATATTCTTGGAGCTGATTGTACCTTAACTTATAATTGTAGATGTAATTAACTTGGGCTAGACCCTTTATGGAAGAGGAAACTCAAACTAAATCTTATCTCTTTCTTCAAACTTCTTAATAAACTATCCTTTACATCCAATCACGTGATTCAATATGCAGAAACGTCTCATTATGATATCCGTAATTCCTTGGCATTAGTGAAACAAACGTATTCTAAATCATCTCTTTATATGAATTACTTTACCTGTAAATTTTCCAGACTCTGGAATAACCTACCACAATCTATCCGTACGATAAACTCACTCCCATTATTTGTTCGCTGCATCAATACATACTGCTCCTCTGAAAATACATTGAATGTTCTAATACCTGTAAGTGTATCTCATTCCACAAGTGATATTATAGAAACTTTAAATGTTTAGTCATCTTTATTAGTGCATTCCTTAAGTTAAACCACCTACTCGCTGTCACTTTATGTTAACACCGTCCCCAGCAAGTTTAACTAATTTGAATAATATCAACAGTAGATCACTGTCACATGACACATGCATTTAGGTAGACCGGATTGATATATTTTGGTAATTACTGCTTTTTTGTTCCGTGCTCTCTGTTTTCGTTTTAATTTCTCTAGTTGTAGATAATTATCATTGATTCGATTTGGCACAGGAAATGACCTTAATCACTCCATTCATACATCAATAGGCTGTCCATTTAAGAAATATTAAAAATTCCCGGCTGATGCATTGGATCGCTGTAATACATGTACTACCTAAACAATTACTGAACTAGTACACCTAAAACTTTCTTCTATAAAACGTTTGTTCTGTACATCTAATGTCACTATTTATATCGAATTGACCATGTCTATAAACTGGAGTGAATTCTGTAATTATTATTTTCAGAATATAAATTATTATTATTACTTACCCTAGCATAATATCATTGATTAGTACTTTAGTTAAACATAACTTATTAAGATACAGCATAATAGTTGTTAATTTTTTAAAGCAGATGACTTATGTACTATATACCATGGATACATTTTTGTTCCTGACAGGTTTTTGATAACTCTGACTTTCTGAACTAATGTCATCTGTACAGAAGAAAATTATTTTCAACATAGAAATTTAATTGTGATTGATTAGAATATAGTTTCTTACAATTTTCATTCATTTTATCTTCATATATATGGAATGTTGTTTCAAAAGCAACTGAATGTAGTTTGATAAAATGAATTAGATCATTCTATCAAAGAATTAGAATTCGCTTCTAATAACTAAGTCATCCATGTCAAACCCCGGTGGATGCTGATAATGGAGATTAAGATCATAGTATATGGTATCATACACATAATTAAAATTACTGAAGTTATTTATTGTATTCATGATACATGTACAACGACAGATGCAAATCGAATGCTAGAAAATATGTATATATGATAAATAAATAATCGTTTCATTACCAGTTGATATTATACTGAGTCATTTGATAAATTTAGCTAATTAAAATAACAAAATTGTGGATTTTATTTGTAGTGAACTGATAGAGGGGCTATAGAAACCTTATTGTCTGTATCCAAAATAAAACAGTACATTCTTAAATGCATTATGAAAGTTCACTTTCGATTTGACAATGAATACTATAGACAATTGTATGGTATATTCATAAAGTCACCGGTGAGGTCTCCCTTGGTACAAATTTCTCTTGCATAACTGGAAAGTGGACCATTTAAAGACATAGTTAACCATCTAACATGTTACTGTTATTATATAGATGGTACTTTCATGGTATTAGGAAAAAGAATGGGAAGGATAATTTACTTAACATGTTTAATAACATACACACATCTACTACATTTATACTTGAGAAGCAATAGAGTAATAGCATATCGTTTTCAAATGTCCAACTAATCGGCAAAGTAGATAGGACACTACAAAGAGGAGTACATAGAAAGTTTGCAGTTGGACAATTTACTCATTTCTATAGTACTGGATCAATCAGATACAAAAGAAACTTAGTAAAGATCATGACAAATTGTGCTAGAATGATTTGACGTGACCTGCTCAGTAAAAATGGCGACCCAGAGAAATTTCTCAAGGAACATATGAACGAGATGACAAGAAAACCAAATTTGTCTACGGTTCTGAAGAAAGTACTACTTTTAAAATTACGATTACTAAATGGTGATGCTGAAGAAACTGTAACTCAAAAGTTCAGAAAGGCGGTGCAGAAAATATTCAATGAAGACAGACAGAATGCTGTTTTTTACAATTAACACAATGAGAATCCCCAATACAGACTGCATGAATTCGCTACATCCATATGTATTTACCAATCCAACTGCTCCTATGAAGTCAGTTATATAGGGAGTACAATTCAGCAAGTCCATCATCGCATAGCAGAACACCATCCGTATTGGTTAAGCAAAGAACAGGTATGAGTGATTAAGAGTTCTGTTATCGTTCATTTGGTGGACTGAGGTCATAAAGTTGATTTAAATACAGCTTTTAAGGTTGTCCACCATATTCCATTAAAATTACCACATAGTATACAAGTTTGTCTGTTGTATATTACTTAGGCTATCGGAATCCATGTTCAAAAACTTAACTTTTGCGTTCGAAAGAAGTTTGTACAATAACCATAGCTACCTAAGCCATCAGTATACGAATGAGATTTTAGCCGAACTTTGATTAAACCCACTCCTTCAAAAATACCCCTGATTTCTTCCTCTTTTTGTATTTTCGACGTTCGTCTCATGATTCTAGAACACCATTGAAACCTGGAAACACTGGAAGGATGTCTCGCTCCAGTATGAGACTCTTCAACAGTGATCCGGTTCAGTGGTTTAGAGGTTAAATGTTCTCATGAGAGACAAAATATGTTGGATTTGATTTTCGCGAGCGAGATCGTGGATGTGCACTGCTGAGGAGTCCTATACTAAGACGAAACAGATGTTCAATCCTATACAAACAGATAATGATATGTGCTTCATATCAATTTTTATTTAAAATATCCGAAGCATATTTAGATGCAAAAATAATACAAAAAATATATTATTCAGTTACCTTCGCGAAATTGCATATTTCTTGTGGATGTAAATCCAGCATCAGCAAAAAATAGTCTGGACTTATTGGTATTTGACAAATTTTCTAGTTTATCTTGATTATTTCTAGAATTTTGATATTTTTCTTCATGTTCATTAGTTTCAACTAGTTGATCATCTTCAAGAAATGGAGAAGGTAAAACTTGAGATTCATGAACAAATTCATAAGTTCCATGAAAACCTTGACCTTGATAGAAAGGACTACGACTGATAAAATCCAATTTTAATATAGAAGTATGTGAAACAAGTTGTATATTCACTAGGTTAGTACAAAGATATGCCAATGTTCTCGATTTATTCTTGTACATCTCAGATATGGAAATAAAATCATTTTGCACAGGTATAGAATTTCTTGTACTGCATCTAGTTGTTAGGAAAGAGAAAAGTTTATTAATTTATCTATGTTGCCATGCCAGATACACAAATCTACATTCTAGTTGATAGACTATGTTGGCTCTCATTATCTGATTTACTTATTTCTCATAGAACAATAACTGTTGTAGTACTTTTGAAACTTAAGTAAACCTAATATACATTTATAAGCGAAGGTGAATAATGGATGTCAGTGGAATCGAGGACACACGTTTTGTCCTATGCAAGACTCCTCAGTTGTAGGTACTTGCATCTCGGAGTTTATGTTCACTCTGAGAATCGATCTCAGTACCTTTGGCTTCAAACGCCATCGCGTTATCCACTTAGCTACTGATTCCTGATAGTCTCCTACTTGTGCAATGGAGTGATGTTTAAATTCATTTGATGTTGTTAACTTGTATCTCACTGCTAGCCGCTATCCATCTTAGCTTATAAAGCCTGTGACCTAAGGCAATACAGAGGCAGTTCGTACAGGATGCATATAGGCCAACAAGAGACTGATCAATGGCAGTCCTAAATAGCAATGGGAAGATACAAGTAAACAACACCAAGTGAATCTAATATACGTTTGTTACTAGAAGTTTAGTAAAACATCGAAATGAGTTACATTCAAGTTTAATAAAATGTGAATAGAATTTTCAAGAAATTTATGAATCATCAACTGAGGTTAGTGAAAATACTGAATAAGATAAAATAGCGATTTGCAAGTAGGTCATGTATTTCGGTGAAAGAGGATAAAAATGTGTAAAGTAGGGTAAGATCAATTGCTGATATCATTTTTTGATCAGTTTTGTAAACTGAGAACAAACATTTAGAGAACTAGATTATTTCTTTGATTTTACGCTTCTGCAACTGTCCAATCTTAAATTTAACGAGTTATATCAAGGTGTAGACTGTTTGAATGCACGAAATCCATTATATATAGCTATGAATAAGCTATGATATATAAATTCTGTAAATTTTACCTAAGCTAACCCTGTTAGTTAATGGGGTCAATTAAAGATAAACGCTATTTAATTTGGACATTACTTAGACAGACTGTATGAGTGTAACATGGAGTAAAGCTTCTCAATCTACTTAATTTTACTAAACATGACACAACATCGTTAATAATACCGTTTAGAACAAGCTAAAACCAGGTAACGAATACAGTAGGTGATAAGTTAACATATATACACATAAACTTATATAAAAGTAACCAGTTTTACAAGTGAATAACTGATAAAGCTAAATATGTATATTCATATTGACTCGAAAATATAACATTGATTTATTTGTCGAAAAGTTTTAATAAATCACATAGATATTATGAAGAATCTCTACACGACTAAACCATCCAGCACAGAGAACAAAACTCCATCAAAATCATTCACCTGAGCTACAAATCTTCTCCACTATCTCTATCTATACAAGCTGTATAAGATATCATATACTTTGGTACTTAATTCATAAAGTTGAAAAAACTTGTTTATCATGGGGATTTTGTTTTAATAAAAACATTAAATACATACAGTTTGGATGATTCCTCACCATGCTAACTTTAGAAAAAACGCATTTCAAGTTAAGAAAATTGTGGAAAAAGACTAGACTTGAGACGCAAGTATATTTTTGCAATAAAAAGTAATTTGAAAACAATTTTTTAATGATGCTTTGAAATTTAACAGTTGAATTCATGATTCAATTGAAGTTAGACCACCATGGAAAACCTGGAAGCACTGGACGGCCTTTTTGTTCTAGTATGGTACTCCTCAGCCGTTAGCATCCACGATCCTACCCCAGGGGATTCGAGCCCAGGACATATCAATCTCACGCGCGAACATTTAACCACTAGACCACAGAGCCGGTCGGCATCCAACGGTGTTAATGTCTAACTTTAACCAATCCAACTAATTGTATTCACTATATGAACCATGTACGCTGATTAAATCCTTATGATTAATTAAAACATTTATTCAGTAATTTTACCTCGTGAACTATTAAAATACGTTTTATAATTTAAAGAAAGTTTGACATGAAATACAGTCATATAGCAAAGATGGATAATGGATCTCAGTGAAATCTTATTTGGGACCCGATTCCCAGAGTGAACGTCAACTCTGCAATGTAGGTGCATCCAGCTGACATATCCCAACTAGGACAAAACGCGCATCTTGGATTCCACCGCCAACCACTATTCATCTTTGCTTAAAATGCTTGTGACTTAAGACAATATCGTGGCAATCCGCATAGGATGCACATATACCAACAAGCAAACAATACCAAGTGAACAGTCATATAGGTTAAATCTCCATGGATACAAATATTTCTATATCTCACGAAATTGTATACACACTTGATAGATTTACACAATTTGAATTAATTTCTTATTTATTCAGAAAAAGATATTCATTTTTCAAATAATCAAATCAAAAATTAAATCATGTTAAAGCTCATTAATATTGAAAATCAGCATTTTGCTTGTTGCATAATTGATTTATAGGATTGTCAACAAGTTAAAATTATGATTTCTTCAAAAACCAGAAAAACAGTTAGTTTCATCATGAAAAACTGCTATTTATAATGCTAGACATTTTGGTAATTGACTTTATATATTTTCAATAGTTGGGATCATGAGTCAGTTGAAGCTAGACCTCCATAGAAAACCTGGAAGCACTGAATGTTTTGTCCTATTGTGGGACTCCTTAGCAGTGCCAGATCAGTGGTCTAGTGGTTAGGCGCTTACAGGCGAGACTGATATGTCCTGGGTTCGAATCCTGTTAGGCGGTTCGTGGATGCACGCTGCTGAGGAGTCCGACACTAGGACGCAACGGCCTTCCAGTGCTTCCAGGTTTTCCATGGTGGTCTAGCTTCGATTGACTCATGAATTCAACTATAAAATTACTAAAATCTCTACAAAACCCCTACTGATAAAATTGTTTGATCAAGGTACTAGTTCCGTGAGGAAACGTGAACAAGGAATAACTAACATGATGTAAAAGAGGGATTACAATGCTAGATCATGTAATATGAATAATAACAATATACTTAAAGAGTCAGTAACGAATTATAACGTGAATGTAGTAAGAAGACTAAAATGTATTTGCTACAACAATTGTAGGTAAAGGTAATAGAACTATGAAATAAATGAAGTAATATTATGAGCAATTATGAATAAAATAATGAGAATGTAGGGCATAAGTAAGGGGAGGAATGCAGTAATAATAATTATAATTAAGGCCAAGTTAACGACGTACTTCTTTTGTACGCATAGCTCTGGCTTGAGCTCATAAATGGTAAAAGCTTCGGCTATTTTTAGGAGTTGGATACTAAGAAATCTAGGTAGATTTGGACGGATCATGTATACAACCTTAAAATCAAACTGTGGACCAGTAGAATGTTTACACTTGATTAGATGTTCAAGTATGGAACTCCTGACTGTCTTCCTTTTACTCTTGTAGAAGCACACTGGGACATGTTCCAGTATCTGATTTGAATGAGAGCGCTGGCTACGGCCAACGTACGTCGCTCCATAAGAGCAGCTAAACTGGTGGATGCACATGGCGGCAACCAAACGGGGAAGTTTATCTTTTATGGATACATAAAACAAGTTCCTACTAGCGAATGTTATCCCTAGTTTTGCCGCCTGGAATGTTCTTTTTATCGTTGTCGTTCAACGATTTTTGATGACATCAGATGTTCGATCACCTTTAAATTTCAAAATTATATAAAGGATTTTCTTTGGAATGGAAAACCGGATTCCTTGTCACAACTAATTTTTTCCATAGCCAAAGCTCCTACCATCCATGAGCTCAGGCCAGAGCTATGCGAGCAAAAGTAGAACGTCATATCGTTATCGTTACCTTGGCCTTAATTATTATTATTATTATTACTGCATTCCTCCATTTATGTACATTCTAAAACTATCAGTTGATAGATTTCCTGCTATTGTTTATCTACATTATGCTATTGTGAAGTTGATTTATTCATTCCATCATTTATATGGAATAAATTTCACATTCAACCTTTTTTAAATAGTTTTTTTGATAATAACAGATTCATATCAGGAGGGTAGTAGATATTAAAGTAATTTTAATAGTTGAGATCATGAGTCGATTGAAGCTAGACCACTATGGAAAACCTGGAAGCACTGGACGGCCGTTTCGTCCTATTTCAGGACTCCTCAGACTTGTTATAAACATGTCAGAAATCAAGTGGAATTTCTATAATAAATGAATTTCATGCATCAATCTTTTAATCGTTTGTAAAACGTAAGTATTATTATGGACGTGTAATGAGCAACTAAGTGAAAATTAATGATTGTTTTATCTAACTCATTATGAAGCGCCAACTGAATTTTTTCACTTTATTATCAAAATGATAATTGAATAAAACATTTTCAATCATAATAAACTTTCAAGTTATAAACATCAATCAGTTCATGATGTTAATCAAAAACTTAACAATCTCCACAACCCCTAAACTGATGAAATGATTAATTAGCTGAATAACTCTAACATACAACTTAATAATGTTCCTGCGTGACTGAGTATATTTTCATTGAAAACTTACATTTGAAACATGTATTATGGTCATAACATAAGAAAATATTTCTACACGAAAGATACTCAATACTTTCATTCATTTTACATTGCTTGTTTGAATCTTCCCAGTCCACTGTAAGCCATTATAAATATCTGCTTATAATGCTTGTAAATTAAGACAATATCGAAACAATCCTCACAGAATGTACATATGCCAATATGAGATTGATCAATTGCAGTCCCAAATATCTATGCGAAGATCCGAATAAACAATATGAACTAAAATATCACTCCATCGCACAAGCTAGTGGCTATCAAAACTCAGTAACTAAGCGAATATCGTGATGGCATTTGAAGCGAACAGTATTGAGTTCGAGTCATGGAATGAATACCAACTCTGAGATACGGATGCATCGAGCTGACGAGTCCTGACTAGGGCGAAACGCATGTCCCGAATTACATTTCTAACTACCATCTATCTTTGCTTAGAATACTTGCGACTTATGACATTATCGAGGCAATCTGTACAGGATGTACCTATGCCTATAAGAGATTGATCTATTTCAGTCCCAACACATCACTCAAAAGATTTAAATAAATAATTACAATTATCTATTACATAAAGAAACTATATGATTTTTGTTACTAACCTTTCTATATTACTTATATTATCTTCATTTGTCATTGATTTTAATCGAATTGAATGAAATGTTAATAGAATTCGTTGATTATTATCTGCTATAAAAATGAATCGACATTTAATATTTGGTGGATAATTACTTGGATAAAATGGTGAGAAAAAATTTCCATATTTAATTGTATTATTTAATAATTTATTATAATGAAATTCATAATCACAAAATGTATTTTCTTTATGTTTTCCATTATTTTGATAATTACCTTAGTTAAAAATTTAAAAAAAGGAAAAAAAGTAGAATAAAATAAATAAAAAAATGAAAAATAAAGAAATTAAAAATTAAAAAATAAAAAAAATAAAAAAATAAAATTGAATTTCTCTCTTTGAGTTAAACATTAAATTTATAAAATAATGAATTTAAACAATAGAAAACTATGATTATTGTATTGGATAAAGCATGACAATTTTGTATTATGTAAAATGAGTATGCGGGAATTTCTTTTATATTTAAGAAAATGTTTTTTTTTGTTAAATTAAAATCATTTTGTGATTGTGAATTATTTACGTAATAAAAATTGATTTATTATTATTATTACTATTTAATTGTTTTATTATTTAGTGGTTTATAGATTTCATATATATGAAGTCGGTAAAAGCTATAATTATTAGATGAGGGGTATTTTTGTGAAGATTGTAGTAATTTAACAGTTGAGTTCATGAGTTAATTAAAGCTAGACCAATATGGAAAACTTGGATGGATTGGATGGCTGTTTCGTTCTATTGATGGACTTCTCAGTGGTGCGCATCCATGAACCCGCCATAGCTGATTAGAACCCAGCACTTATCAATCTCGCGTGCTAACACTTAACCACTAGACCACTGAGCTAACCTTCATCTAATGGTGTTAATGTCTAATTTCAACTAATCTACGAAATTGTCATCAGTGAGTCACTATCTCACAATAGAACCGGTTGAACTCTACTGGTCACCGCTTCTCACTAGAACTTCAGGAAATACTTCTCGAAACAATTTTTTTTTGGAAAACTGAACACTGAACCGATTGATTTTTTGTTTTAGTGAATACATTGACAATAGGAAAAGTTGGTTTTAATTATTTTTGAGTTCTATCGTGAAATTAATAACAGTAAATGATGTGTGTTCTTTTTGGTGGAGATTGTAGTAATTTAATGGTTGAATATATAAGTCAATTAAAGCTAGACCACTATAGGAAATTTGGAAGCATAATCTGCACAAAAACCCTCGATCTGATAATAATCGTCTTGTGCTCATTAGTGATTGGGTTCAACATATATTTTGATGGAGTTCTAGTGAGAAGCCATGACGAGTGGATCGCAACTGTGCCTGTTGGGAGACAGTTACTCACTGGACAGAATGATGGACTTTGGCACAATATCGTGTATTGGTTGAAGTTAGATATTAACACCGTAGGATGAAGGCTGGCTCAGTGGTCTAGAGTTTGAGTGTCTGCGTGGGAAAACGTAGGTCATGATTTAAGTCATTCCTGAGGGTTGGTGGATGTGCACTGCTACTAGGACGAAACGGTGGTTCATTGCTTTTAGGTTTTCCATGGTGGTCTAGCTTTAATCGACTCTTGAATTCAACTATTAAATCAAAATAATTCACTTAAATACAATTAACGTTAAAAGTAGATATTTATTATTCATTCTGAAAACCCCCTTTGTGTATTCAAAAACAGTTAGTTCTCACCTTAAACCTACCCTGGTAATATTGGCTTATTATCCAGAGTGATTAGGTTTCAAATTGTGTTCACATTAATATTATTACAATAGTTGAGATCATAAGTCAATTAAAGCTAGACCATCATGGAAAACCTGGAAGCACTGGACAGCCATTTCGTTCTATTGCGGGACTCTTTAGTAGTGTGCATTCATGACCCCGCTTCGCAGGATTCTAACACAGGACCTGTGAGTGCTTGACATCTAGACCACTGGGCTGGTATCCCACAGTGTTAATGTCTCACTTTAACTAATCCACGAAATTGAGTGACACATTCACCATTGTCATCATTGAAGTACTATCTCACAACAGACTTGGTTGAACTCTATTGGTCACTGCTTCTCACTAGAACTCCAGGAAATTCATTTTGAAGCCAGTCACTAGTGAGCATATGTTGATTCATATCAGAAGGGGTTTTGTGTAGACTGTAGTAATTTCGATATTTGAGATCATGAGTTAATTGGATGCCCACTCAGTGGTCTAGTGGTTAAGCGCTCACAAGCGAGACTGATAGGTCCTGGGGTTGTATCTCGCGAGGTGACGTCGTTAATTCGAACTGCTGAGGAGTCCTACAGTACGACAAAACGACCGTCCAGTGCTTTCACGTCTTTCATGCTGGTCTAGCTTCAATTGACTCATGATCTCAACTATTGAACTTACTACAAAATCTCCTCAAAAGCCCTTTCTGATACTTACTTTTATTACTCTTATTATTATTATTATTGTCCTTGTCTCCTCTTATTCCGTTTACAGTCTAGTTGACCTTTTATTTTTATATATAAAGATTCTTAACAAGTATATTGGATATGACCAGATTGTTCAAAATGTATTAAACTAGTATATCACCATATAGTTATGATGATCATCGTCTTCTTATTTACATTAACGAAATTTATCAAAAAAAGGGACTAATTACTTTAATTAATGTTCTTTTAACACATTAAACAATATAATACATTACAAGACTTACTTTTTAAATCAAATGTAAATTGACCAATAAATCCCATTTGTTGATGATATTTGATACCAGGAATTTTAGATGCTGTATGAAATATTAATAATAATATAGAACTAATTGAATAAAAATCATTTTGTGGAAAATCATTTAAATCACCGCATAATCTATAATCCGCTGGTCTAGAATAATTTATTGAAGAGATATTCATAAGATTAGAATGTTTTGCCATTTGATTATTTGATTCAATTGTAGTAAACATATCTAAATAATCTATACATCTGAATAAAAAAAAGAACAATAAAAAGGATAAAGTATATATATAGATACATACCTGGAAATGTTATTCATTACGTAATCTACATTAGTTGTCATATGTTAGTTACATCATTGAAAGTTTACAAGTTAATTGGCATCATTTTATAAGTCGGATACATAAGAAAATGTAAAGATAATAATATAATCCTTTATAGGTCAATATTGTTTTGTATACCAGATGAAATGAAGTGAAATATTAAGAAAGAATTCTTTAGTGGGACTATTAAGAAGTGATGAATCTAATAATGATAATGATAATAATAATAATAATAGCACTTAACTGGTGGTGGTTTTGTGATCTAATAAATTGGTCATTAGTAATGTGAAAACATATGGAAAAACCGATAACCTTGAGGACGTTTCATAAGATAATCACTGAAACTCATTTATTTGGGAATTCTGGAATAATTTTCAGTATCTTATACTTCAGTTATTTGCTATTGATATTTACTTATAGAAACATATTATGAAAAATAATATCACCCAAGGTCTATATCTGAGCTGCAAAATATGATTGCCATGGTTAAATTCAAATTTATAATGAACACACGTGCTTGAGGAGAGTTATCATTTACCGGATGACCATACTGTGAAAAGATATTTCTTTTTGTGGGACCTGAAGAAGAAAACTATGATCTTGACGACTTGAGAAATTGATCACAAGAACTAAGGGACAACTAATTGGGGTCAGTTACATCTGACTTTTTCAATTGGGAATTTTTGATGTATTATCACCTTACTTCATAAAGTCTTACCAACAAAGCCTGAGCACGGTGGGATAAGGTGAAGTATGAAAATTTTGGCGACTACCTTTTCTAACTCTTTCCTTTCTTTATGATATGGTAACACAACTAAGGTTAACACTTTGATGCTGTCACGATTCTATATAGTCAGATGTATAGCTTCACCTGTGAAGCTTAGGTTGTTGCTTTTAGTCTTCAGTTATCCGATTGGCTTTTCTGGCATTACAAAATATATGTTTTCCAGTCGAGATAGCTCGATTAAGTCATCGCGACAAGCAATCATGACCACAATGTTAAGGTAGGAGCTTAGGTCCAGAAAATGCGGATATACTCATACAAATATAATAGACAAAAAATATTCATTTACATCAACAGAACATTTCATGATCCTACAGTTTACCAACCTCAACAAAAGAAATTCGGGTGTACTCTGAAATCTATTTTCAACGTACAAGTTTTATTAACATAAGCCTTCTATTATGATACTGAAACAATGTTTAGACCACATATGGTTGCAGTTTGACCCATCATTCATATAAGAAATTGAAACATTCCACATATAATGCGAAACAAATATCATGGAGGATGACGAAAGTAAAGATATAGATTAACATGATGGACGACTATATTGTTCAATATTCCGTTTGATGAAGAATAAAACTCATCAATAGATTTCATGAACGATTTCTTGAAGCCTACCCTGAACAATTTTAAGCGGTTAAGTAAAATCCACTATGTTGAATCAGTGGGTGAGCAGTTTGCACTATATGTATGGAGAACTACTACAACCATCATCAAAAAGGTATAAACAGTTGTCTACGCAAGATATTGCATATCCATTGGCTGGATACCATCAATAACAGGCTACTCTGGCAGTGAACTTGGCGGCTTCCAGATAAAAAGGATATTAGGAAAAACACGGGAGGTGGACAAGACATACATGGCGGAAACCATCATGAGGCAAGCCCAAAATTGTGATCCTCAAGGCCAAACGAAAAGAGGCAGATCAAAAAAGGTATGTCGTGCTAGTATTAGTGACAGACTTCCAATTAAATGAATAGATATTGGAAACAATTGGAAATCAGGGGCCAGGACAAAGTTGTCTGAAGAATTCTGGACGATGGTCTATGCTCCACGAGAGGTAGCAAAAGTAAGTAAGTAATACTGGTGATTCGTTATTTTAAATGATTTATTCAGCATTTTAATTTCTGTATCCTTAGATAAGAATATTAGCTAAACTGTCGAGATAACATTTATGGTTATCATTCAATACAGTTCGAATAAGTTGCATTTATTAATGACCCAAGTCAATCAGACATAGGATAAATGAGAAAAGATGCGGACACCCTATTGATCAATATATGATTTCACTTTCTAATGAAATAGTGGTTAGGCGTCTGCTTGCGAGACCGATTGGTCCTGGGTTCGAATCTCACGAGGCGGACTCGTGGATGCACACTACTGATGAGTCGCACGCTAGGACGAAACAGCCGTCCAGTGATTTCAGGTTTTCCATGGTAGTTTAGCTTCAATTGACTCATAAACTCAATTATTCAATTACTATAACATACACAAAAACCCTTTTCTGAGAAACAAACATATGTTATTGATTGTCCATGTGGCTTTATTTCATGATAGTTATATATCCTCAATTTAGTTTGACTAATAAGCATTTCCAACCAACGCTGGGTTTCCTCAATCTACAAGTTAATCATTTTTTATTAGAGAAAGTTTGTGTAACAAATTATAACTATCGCTACTACTCTGTTACATAGAAGAGTGCTTTGCCTTAATTGGACCAAGGTTAGCAAAGGAAATTCGATTCCATCTTCACACTAACGACACAAATCTCACAAAGTACACGAAGCTTCAAAGTCAAAGTTTATTAGGACTCATTGATTTATGCCTAACAACACATTTTCAATTCAACAACAGAATCTACGAACAAACAAAAGGGACATTGATAGGATCACCAATATCAGAACTGATCGCAGAAGTAGTGGTGCAGAGACTAGAAGCCTCGATATTACCAGTGATCAAGCCAAAAATTTGGATCCGCTCTGTTGACGACACATTCGTCATCGTCAGAAAAAGATGAGCTGGAAAACACGTACAACCTAATCAACAACATCAAGTTCACAATGGAACAGGAGTCAAACAACAAACTATCACTCTTGAATGTATTAATCACCAGAACTGATACAGGAAAACTGTAAACTCAAGTGTATAGGAAGCCGACCCACGCAGATCAAACTCTTAACTACAATAGCAACAACCTAAAAGTTCACAAAATCAACGGCGTACGCACTTTGTTCAATAGTACGAAGAAACATTGCAGCACACTGACAGCATGAAAACTGAAGAAAACTACCTAAAGATCATCTTTCAAAAGAACAACCACTCAATCAACTTCATCAAAAAAAAAAAACCCAGCCGCATGCATCATCACAAACAAATTCAAGTACAGAAATCAACAAACGGATCACCCTACCATACATAAAATGCTTATCAGAAATCATCACGAAACTGCTAAAAACCATCAGTACTAACATATTTTTATCATTACAAATGATAAAAATATTTCCCGGTTTTTTTTTTAAATTTTAAATCTACTAAACTACCCATTAAAACGTTTAATTAGTTGAATTTAATTGAGGATTAAAATAAAAATACAAAAACATAAAGCAACACAACAATTTTGAATACTTACTTTTTCTCAATAGGTTTTCTTAAATTGAATGTTGTAAATGTAATTTTCACTAGTTCATTAGATAAACCATGAAAGTAATACAATAAACAATTTAATTCATATTGATAATTTTTCGGATAATTCGGTGTTTTAAATATACCCGATTTATACATTGTACTATCGAACAGAAAGCATCGACAATCTAAAATAATGAAGCAAATATTATTATTATTATTATTACTATTAGTAGTAGCAGTGCGGTGTGTGCTACTTATATTGAAATAAGTAGTATGTAATGTTAGTCGTGAACAGAAGGTCTGCCAGCAGATAAACAAAAGGATCGAACAGTCAAGAATGGAAACAGGATGCAATTTGTATGAAAATGCAAGAACAATGAAGTCTGAGACATTTTGAGACAATTAGTGGACATTTTGCAAATTAAGCATTTACTTTAGGGTTCTCAGATTTTATTGAGATGCTCTATAAATTTGTGTTTAAATAAATCTGATTGTCCCTACCTGTGTCCTTGTTCACTACAGTAGTATTAGGGGTAATAATGTGGTGTGGGTTACTTATATCCACACAAGTAGTAAATGGCGGTGGTCAAGCATAGAATGCATTTCGGTAGGAGGTCGATAAGGAAAGAATGGGGACGAAACGCGATTGGTGTGAAAACGTATGAACAATGAAATCTGAGACAATGGATTGGTGTTTGCAACAGGAAGAGTGAAGTTTGAGATGATGGATTGATATTTTGCAAATTAACAATTTACATTATGATTCTCAGATTTTACTGAGATGCTCTGTAATTTAGTGTTGAAATACATTCGATTGTCCCCACTGGTATTCTGATCACTACAGCAGTAGTAGTGGGGGTAGTAGTGTGGTGCATGCTACTTATATTGACATAAGTAGTATATAACACTAGTCAGGAATGTAATGTCTGGCAGCAGAAGATTGGGAAGATAAAGAAAGGAAGAGCGGGAATAGAAAGCAATTGGTATAGAAATACCAGAACAATGAAGTCCGAGACAATTATTGAACATTTTGCAAATCAGGTATCTTCCAAGTAACTCTGTAATGTTGTGCTAAATATAATTCAGTTGTCCTCACCTGTGTTCTCCTTTACTACTGTAGTACTAGTATTAGTAGTTGTAAGTAAATAGCGATTTTTATTTGAACGGAATTTGTTTTAAGAAACTTTAGAAAAAAAGTATATAACTGTCTTACCATTACACTTTCGCCTATATATGCATATACATATGTCTTGCCATTAAGCTACTTCTTATCTTAACTTTCTATTCACACATTTACTTATACATGATATCTATTAAACTAAACTATTTGTATTCATTTAAGTGTTTTTATTATGAAAATCATAGAATTTTGCATTCTTTCTTATGGTATAACTTTCCTATGAAACTATTCACTAGTCATTAGTTCAATGAAATAGAAAAAACATACTACCAAATTAAGCAAATCGATCATTTTTCTTAAAAAAAGAAAAGAAATTTAACAAAATATTGAAATTTCAGTTATTTAATGATTAAAGAAACTGATTTCGTTAAGAAGGACTTATATGTGGCTTATTGAATACATTGTGTCACAAGACAAGCCCTCACATGGAATCCTTAAAATCAATGGAAAAGAGGAAGACTTAAGAACATATTACGCCAAGAAATGGAGACAGATATGAGGAGAATGAATAACAATTGGATAGAACTAGATAGGAAGGCTCAAAACAGAGTGGGTTGTAGAATGCTGGTCAGCGGCGTATGCTCTATTGGGAGTAACAGGTGTAAGTCAGTAAGTAAGTAAGAATTGAACACATTATCTATGGCATTCGGATGATATTATATGACTATTCAAATTTGGAATCTAGTAAATGTATCCTAGAGACTATGACTCTCAACAATTATCGTTGATCAATGATTTGTATATCGTATAAATTACATGTTTACACATAATTTGCAAGAAAAAAAACAGTAGAGTTGTATAGATAATAGATATCATTATAATGGCTTGACATGATATAGTCACATACGTTGATCATTTGGTAGATTGTTAATTGACTCACGAACTCAACTATTAAATAACTATAGTAGCTACAAAAAACCCTTTCTGAGACTGTTAGTAATAAAAGTAAATATACATCTGTCGTATCGGGATATTGCAAACATATTGTCACTTCCGTATATATATATATATATATATATATATATATATATATATATATATATATATATATAAACAGTCAACAGGTAATATGCATAATTTTACTATTGCTTTCATTTCCTCAGTGTAATCGTTATCAGCAGATTGATAAATAGACATATATATAATTTACGTTTGAAACTTGATATTTCCACATTTATATGTGATCCGGGCAGTATCACAGCCCTCACGCAAATCAAATGAGATTTGTATGGCGCATTTACATCTGGTGTCCTCTTGTACCAATATCTATGTGTTCAAATAAATAAATAAATTTTAGTGTTGTATATGCAATCCTATTAAAATTCTGAAGGGATTATATTCTCTGAGGTGAGTAGTTTAAATTAGAACCATTCAGTTCTTTTTGTATAATACAATTAACAGACTCGGTGAGACTATAATTTATGGACGAACCAGTCACATATAGGATAACGAGTCATGAATTTTGGCGCGAAATTCATTCATACATTTGGCTAAATAGAGTTTTGGCATCATAACGGATGTCAATTCGTGATGAAAACCCTAAATCTAATTTTTAATCCTAACCATCGACTGTAAATGATAATTATAACTGCTTTATAACCCTCATTTATTCTTAATCAGTAAGTGTCCACTCTCATGGTCACTTCAGCGTCGTTCAAAGGTCGTCTATAAATTATAGTTTTTGATGGAGTTTTGTTCTTTGAGCTGGATGGGGAACAAAACTCCATCAAAATCATCCACCTGAGCTACAAATCTTCTCCACCATCTCATAAATTATAGTCTCATGAAAAGACTCTTTTGATATATTTCCAGATAATATTGTCTGAAGTGATAATAATAGATCCATAAACAACACATCTCATAGAATGTCACATCGTTATCTTGATGAGCTTGAAAAATTCTTCATCTCAGTTACATGACGATCTACATTTTTCTGAAAATTAATTAATTAAAATTTTAGGTGAATGATAATTCCTATAGTTTTGACTCATTTCGATTATGGCAGTATGTTATTTGTCAATATATTAAGACAAATCAACGTGAACATCTATCTGATCACTTTAAGAAAAGATCAGTTTCTAAAATAATGCATAAAATATAATGCACAGCATACAGTTGGTTTCGTTTCACAAATTTCAAAATTAATGGTGTAAGTTGTTGACCAGTATGATTAGTTGGCTTCATGTCATTCCTTTCATCGATAGAACTACATAGAATTGAATTATAAGCAGATGTGTATGATGGCTAGATATGAAATCTAGAACGTTCGTTTCTTCCTGTTTGAAATTCATCATCTGATATGACCTAAGGAAACATTTAGGCAATCCGATTATAATGTACATATACCAAAAAGAAACTAATCAACTGAAGTTTTAAACATCAATGGAAAGATTGAAATAACTCATAAAAATGAATAGAAACAAATGGCCAAATGAAATTACATACTTATTAATGTTATTATTATTAAAATTGAACATTTAATTGCGTGTTTTGATAATGGACTTCAGAAGAACAAAAACCGATTGTTCCGTACAAGTAAACAACTTGTAATAGGTGTCGCGAAAATAAACACTCTTAAATAATCATTCCCTGAATCATTGAAATACCATTGATGTATGCCAAATACAATCATTCTATTCTACCAACAACAACAACAACAACGAAACATTATCGTGTCTACTTCATTAATGTAATCCATAATTTTGTTATATAAAACTAAGTAAACATCAATTCAATTTATTGTATTCATTTAACCATCTAGTTTGTTTTAAGAAGAAAAACAAGCAATAACTTCATTGAATTCAAATTTCAATTCAGACATTTTGATGAGGCAACTTATAACAATTCAATGTTTAACTGTCATTGCAATTAACATTTATTCGTGAAAACAATTTTCTTTTCTTTTTTATTTATTCTGTTTAATAAGAAACTCCATCTGGAGCCCCTCTGGGGCTAATGCCGGTCCAAAGTCCTGATAAAGGAGGAGGGTTGAGCATGGGGTTAGTGACCACATCCGTAGAAAACTAATTCGCTAAGCAAGACGCTAACAAGAAAAAATTATTTAATGTAAGTAATAAAGAATCAACAGTGGACGGTGGGTCGATTTCGTGGATTGGTTGACGTTGGACATTAACCCCGTTGGATGCTGACCGGCTCAGTAGTTTAAAGGTTAATTGTCCACGTTTGACATCGAAGATTATAAGTTCGAATCCCACCTGGCAGGATTGTAGATGCGCAGTGATAAGGAATGCCATAGTAGAACGAAACAGCCGTCCAATGATTTCAGGTTTTCCATGGTGGTCTAGGTTTAATTGACTCATAAATTCAACTAGTAAAATTACTACAGTCTCCACAAAACCCTCTTCTGATAAGAAATCATAATTAAAATAGATCTCAAAAGTCGAAAACGCGAAACATTCTTCTGATAATATACAATTACTTATTATTTGTAATGTCAAATCTTTATCTTACTATCAAATACATTTTCATGTTCTATATCAGGACCTGATCTTAGCTAGGCAACTAGGAGGAGTTAAACGTTTTTCCCGTTCAAGTATAGAACTCCTAAGGAGTTTGAATCCATGACCGTTTGACTAGGAATTGAAGTCAGGAACTTCTGCCTTAGTCGCGAACACTTAATCTCTAGACTATACTTCTTTAATTTATTCATTTACAGTCTTTTGATGAGCCCTTAATCTCTTGATCACTGAGTTAACATGTGAAGGTGTATATGTCTAAATACAGCGATTTATGATATTGTGCTATCATCTTCCATTGCATTCAGTTAATAATTGTCTTACACCTGACACAGTTAAATTTCACCAGTCAAAGCATCTCAATAGCACTCCAGAAATTACATTTTGAAGTTAGTCACTAGAAAGTATATGATTGCTATCAGTATAGAGCATTGTTGTATTTAATTGGTAACCACAATTCGTTATTTTATTTGTCCGTTTCTAGTAGGAGATAAGTAAAAATTTACAATAGTCAGTTACTAACCCGTAT